AGTGACACATTCACAGTCAAATAGCACTGCACACACAAGCACTCAATCAGTTACATTTATAAAATCTTTATACACACACTTCCTCAAAAAAATTATGTTCACTCAAATTGATAGAATCAGATACTGAAGGGCTCACTCACACACATTCAGTATAACATACACATTTACAAACTAACTCACAGACACACGCACGCACATTCTCTCACACACTCCCTCAAAGACACAGTCTAACAATCTCAAACTAAATTACTCATTTTAAAATAAAACACAAACAGACACAAGCTCATACACAAACAAGCACAGATTTTCACAACCATTAAGACTATTCTGTAATCACAGGATTGAGACAGCAGCCGTCCCCTGTCTCCATGGACATCATACTGTGATAGAGGCTCAGCCACCTTCTAGATTCTTCTCAGAGATGGCCACGACCCCAGAGTTCAGGTTCTCATGTGTTGTGTGACTTTAGGTTAATCCACCTGAAACACTGAGTGGCTGTTGTCTTCAACCACTTGATTATCACCTGCATGTCAGTTGATGCAATTGTTTACCTCATTTTGAAGGAAATACAGTAAATTCAGCGTCTACCTAGGCTAGATTGAGGTATCCCTGTTCTCTTGGCAGCTTCAAATGTAGTTGAAAATAGGACAGTATTCAATAAACACTGCAGCTCTTACAACACTTTCCCAGTCAGCTGGTCCAGCAGCACGGGGACTCCAGTAGAACAATCATTTAATGTCCTAATTCTGTTCCCACTGTGGACGCGTTCCTTCTTATGTACCAGGACCTCCAATGATGACGGAGATGAAAATACATATTCTTCAAATTTTTGTCGTAGATGTGGCAAGAAAACCTGTTATTTTTGTTCATCGGTTTCCACACCCAGCTGTTGTAGCTCCTCGCCACAAGGCAATGTATTTCTCAGTATTGCAGGGAATTCACAGCTTCCTGGAGAATAGTATTGTCCTCTAAATGGACTTTTTTAGAGATTATATTTTCTAGTATAAAACAGTGGCAGAAAATGTGTGGTGTAAATCTCACATCAGACTGTTGAGACCGAAGTCAATCCTTTCATTTTTCTACCAAGGGTTTTGTTTCTGGGAAAACGTGAAAGTGGAATGTCTGCTGGATCCCATGCTCACATTCCATAATCACATCTCCCATCCCGAAATAACAGCCGCATTCCTTCATGTTAGAACATATTATGTAGCATCTCAGGCTAGGAAGTGAAATATCCAGCAACTTGGACAGTAGCCCTAATAGCTTCTGTGTGATAAAGTAGACATAGCCATCAATCCTTCTAAGTATAAATGACTACCTATCAAGTTTGGGCTTATTTACATTATTCAAATCGTCTCCATTCACAGGTGGTGACATTACAGGGTGTCATTATTTTGTCAGAGAAATGTGATATCCATCACTATCAGCTCAGGCCCAGTTTGAGATGCGAGGTCTGTCTGTTGGGAGGAATGTAAACTCAGTCTTCATTGCACATGTAAGGGAAAGCTGTGATATAAAGAGGGAGATGCTGGAACTTGAGTAGAAGTGATGATCAGCCTGCAGAAGATATTGTACTATGAGTTCTCTGTACCCTCTGACCCACGAGAATAGATTTTCCTTGCTTTCAGCTGCTGGCTCCTTTATTTTTTACTTATTTTTTATTTATTTATTTTTATAATGTACTATAGGTCCTGGGGTCCATGTGCAGATCATGCAGGATTGTGGCAGAGGTACACACATGGCAAGGTGGTTTGCTGCCTTCATTCCCCATCACCTATACCTGGTATTTCTCCCCTCATTGTCTCTCCCTGCCCTCCCCACTCCCACCGTACCTCTTTTAGCCCCCCCACAACTGACCACACTGTGTGATGCTCCCCTCCCTGTGTCCAGGTGTTCTCATTGTTCAACACCCACCTATGAGTAATAACATGCGCTGTTTGGTTTTCTGTTCTTGTGTCAGTTTGCTGAGAATGATGGTTTCCAGATTAATCTATGCCCCTAGGAAGGACACGGACTCATAATTTTTTATGGCTGCATAGTATTCCATAGTGTATATGTGCCACATTTTCTTTATCAAGTCTATCGATAATGGACATTTGGGTTGGTTCCAGGTGTTAGCTATTGTAAACAGTACCCCAATGAACATACATGTGCATGTGTCTTTATAATAGAAAAATTTATAATTATTTGGGTATATACCCAGTAACGGGATTGCTGGGTCAAATGGCATATCTATTTCTAGGTCCTTGAGGAATCGCCACACTGTTCCACAATGGTTGCAGTAATTTGCATTCCCGACAACAGTGTAAAAGTGTTCCTATTTCTCCACATCCTCTCCAGCATCTGTTGTCTCCAGATTTTTTAATGGCTCCTGTATTTTAAAAATTATTTTATTTATTTTTATTTTACTTTACATTCATTTTATTCTATTTCCTGAATATGTAAAAAAACTGAGTACCTATAAATTTTAAATTTAACAATCCATCATTAGTAGAAGTAACAAAAAAATGGGTATGAGGAAGATGCCAAGTAGAGATGCCAGAATATAAAACAAATAAATAAACAAGTTGTGCATGTTTAGATACCTGAGGACACAGACTCTGAGAACCTTGTGCTGAACTGTATATGAAGAAGTTCAATTACATTTAATGACCAAAACGCTGGTCATTTCAGTAAAAAAAAATTTGTGCGTGGTCTGCTCATATAAGGAACTCAAAAGGGATGAAATCACAAACTTGCAAAACCAGGAGACGCTCAGTGTATATTCGCCCCTTTCCATTTTGCTAGGAAGAGAATAGGGATGGGCTATACCTTCCTGGGAAGTGAGACAAGTGGTTTTTAAGATGGTTCTCCAGGGGAACTGTCAATTCAATCACTCCAACCGTGCTCTGACACAGGATGGAAGGACTAGACTTGCTGGGTCTTCCGGCTTTCATTTTTCTACCATGCCGGATCCTTCTTGCCATCAAACGTCAGAATCCAACTTCTTCAGCTGTTCACTCTCGGGCTCACACCAGCGGTCTGCCAGGGGCTCTCCAGCTTTGGCCACAGACTGAAGGCTGCACTGTCGGCTTCCCTACTTTTGAGCCTGTGGGACTCGGACTGGCTTCCTTGCTCCTCAGCTTGCAGATGGCCCATTAAGGGACTTGACCTGTGATGGTGTGAGTCAATACACCTCAATAAACTCCCCTTCAAATGTATGCATCTATCCTATTACTTCTGTCCCTCTAGAGAATCCTGACTCATACCATGAGAAAAATCTCACCATGTTGACCACATTTCACTTATGAGAACTTGTCCCACAGAGAGCAGCAGATGTGCAGGAAGTAGAGAGGGGTTGGCAGATATTGTCTGTAAAGGAACAGATGTAGCATAACTGACCTCCCCATGGAAGGAGGGTTTAAATATTTGTTCACAGCTAATGATGGCTTGTGTCACGACCTCCACAAGGTTTCAGAAATAGTTTCTGTTAACAAATGTAATACTTTATCTAGGCTTTTCCCCCCACAGCTTATACTTCCTCTCTAGGCAGCAGCACAGAATGATGTCTTCAGAATTCTCCCTAATCTTCTGTGAGCTCCTGGTGCAGTTCCTGGAAGAAAAGCCTGCATGGGGAAGGGAGCCCTCCTCAGGTGCAGCCCTAAGGCTGTCACACCACCTCACCCACCACTGCCCCTCAGTCACCTGGTCAACATTTCTGTGTTAACCTTCCTGAAACATATGGCATTTAGCAGTGCCTTTCCTATTTAAAATTTATCTCTGCAGACACCTGTCCTTTCTGATATGCAGGTTGTTTTGAGTGTGTAGTAATTGGTAATTGATAGAAGGTTTGCATGCAACTTGTCGTCTTCCAGAGTGCAGCCACCATGGGGTTGACACCAACAAGTAAGCAGGTGGACTTCTCAGCTGGTGGACGAGGTATTTCCATAGCCAGTGACCCCAGTGGGGCTCTCACCTTCCAAGACCAATCGGGCTCATTCCTCCGGCTAATATGCAGCCAGCAAGGGGGACCGGTGCCTTTCCAGGAGAGGGTTTCTTCTATTTTCCTCCCATTTTATAAATGGAAGCTACTGCTTCTGCCTAAAATGCATGCATGTGTTTTTATTTTCTGTAAAAGGCACACTCACAGAAACACCCACAAAAGCTTGCAGTGAATCTACTGGAGCTATAGGAAATCACACATGATGTCCCTCGTGGGACGGTCCTTACTTCTCACTAAAGGACATTCTGGATGGGTTCACCAGAACTTGCTGGCTTTCCATAGACATGGATCTACCTCTACGCACTTTGGGACCTTAACCTCTGAGAAGGGACAGAAATTACAGAACCTATAGGAAATACACATTTTATGAATCCTCTAAGGAGGAGTCCTAACAGGAATAGCCCCACCCACTTCTCCTAGAACTGGCATAATTCCCAGGAACCCACTTAAAGAACCCGTGGTACTTCAAGATAATTTAAGCTTGGTATGCCAAGGAACAGCTAGAAGAGGAAAGAAACCATCCGTCCATGTAAGTTCATTGATTCTAACATATTTATGACTCTGGAGCAGGATGGTGATAGTGGGGCCGGCTGTGCATAGATAAAGAGGGGAACAGGGGAACTCTCTGCACCTTCTGTTCAATTTTGCTATGGTCTTAAAGCTACTTTTTGATACATTTTATGTAAAAAGAGTGGCGGAGACATTTTGGAATACATTTTGGCCAGTTTTTAGGAATGATATTTAGTCTTAGTCAGCAATTGTGCTCCAAATTATTTATGTATCTGCTTTTAAAACTATGTCTGCACAAAGTCTCCATGGGAAATGTTCCATCTGCTGGATTGATTGTTGCCTTTACCATTCTGAGAATCTTGCACATAAAGCCACCTTTGAAAGAAATATTTCCTATATAGAGTGCATGCATGTTTCTATTACTCATGTTCCTCAATTGCTTGGCACATTTTCTAAACAACTTTGAAGACTGTTATTTCTGTAAACTCAAATTCACTGCTGCCGCCTCCTCCCTGGGATTTCTGACACTCTCAGGATGTGGTTTTCACACTGTGTCTCTCGCACAGTAATACACGGCCGTGTCCTCATGTCTCAGGCTGCTCAGCTCCATGTAGGCTGTGCTCGTGGACTTGTCCGCGGTCATGGTGACTCTGCCCTGGAACTTCTGTGTGTACTTTGTGTTACCATTACCAGGGTAGATCCATCCCATCCACTGGAGCCCTTGTCCAGGGGCCTGGTCGCACCCAGCTGATAATATAGCTGGTGAAGGTGTATCCAGAAGCCTTGCAGGAGACCTTCACGGAGGCCCCAGGCTTCTTCACCTCAGGCCCAGACTGTACCAGCTGCACCTGGGAGTGGGCACCTGTGGAGAGGACACAGCAGTGGGTGAAGTCTCACTTGACTGGCCTGGTTTCTCCCTCAGTCCTGGGACTGGGCTGCCCTTTACCTGTTGCTGCTGCCACCAAGACGAGGATTCTCCAGGTCCAGTCCATGGTGACGAGCTGTGCTCTGGGGCTTCTCTGAGGAGGGGTGTGGTTGTTGGGTGATGCTCTCAGGCACAGAGGTCTCTATATTCACCTCAGTTATTTGCATATTCATGAAGGATGATAGTTATTAGCCCAGTTCCTGACCCAGTATGAGAAAGAGCAAATAGACGACACATGGACGACACAATCGTAGAAGCTGAGGGTTCAATCCATAATCCTGTTAGAAGCCATGTGTCCCCAACACATCCCTGGTTGACAGAGCTTCCCAGACTTGGGAACAGGCTCCCACAGGACATGCACCTCACTTTGAACCCAGATTTGCGTGTCTCAGGGGCAACTTGAACCATTTCTAGACCTTGATATGTGAATGTGTTATTTTGGGAATGAGTGTGTTACTCCAAAGTGGAACTTATAAATAAGAATCTCTTCCTGACCTCCAGGTGCTTACTGTTAGGCTATCTAGCAGAGTTTGAAATCCCCATTGTAAAAGTGGGTCTCATTACAACATCCAGTTTGACAAATATTCACAATTGAACAGGATATTTATGTGAACATCAGCAGTCCTTGTGAAATACTTATTTTAGATATTTTTAAAGGAAGTCCCAGGACCTGAGAGGAAACCATCCCCAGCCTCTGGTGCACCTGCTCTGGGGCAGGAGCCTGTGCTGGGTGTGTCCTGAGCGCCCCCTGCAGCCCAGCTCTCATTCTGCAAGCAGGTGACACAGTATATTCCTGCCAGTGTCAGCCCAGTATAAAGTGTCTGTGCCCAGGCCCAGAATTCTCCTGTAGTGACACCATATGCTGCACACACCATCTTTTGAAATACTGAATTGGCCTCAGGAAACCCAGAAAAGACTGCAGGGTAACCCTAAGAAAAGATCTCATGCATCCCCAGGGAGACCTTTCCTAGAGCTCAAGAGGCACTGAATCACTGGACACATGGTGAATCTAGAAACTCTTCAGGGTTTTGGGGGAGAGTCTTATTTCCTTTAGGATCCTGCAGTTGATTCTTACACCTGAGAATGCCTACAAGTGCAGGTGCACACACACACACACACACACACACACACACACGTTGTAGCTGATTTTTATGTTAATTGGTCCCATGTTTTTCCTATGGAGGTGTTTGAGATCCTGGTATGTTCTCATTATTAATCCTTTGCTAGATGGGTAGTAATGTCTTTTTACTTCACACTGTGAGAGACATGATGTCACCATTCACAGGTGCATTCCTGGATATACTCGATGGAAAAGAGTCATTTGGCAATGTTGCCTTAGACAGCCTCTGCCTGATGTCTCTGAGAGTCTGTATTTCTTAAAATAACAACGGGATGTTATTCTGTGCTCATTACTGGCATAGTATCACTGTTTTGTGTCAAAAATGGATCCACAATCTAATGCAGTTATATTTGTTCCTATTTTGAGGGGCAGTTTTTCAGGTTTCTTCATGACCCAGAATGTTATTTTCTTTTGGAGAAAATGGGCCTAGCAGTATTTTTCAGGCTGGCCACGAAATCCTGGGCTCAAGTGATCTTCCCACATTAACATCCTGACTAGTTGAAAATATAGGCACATGGCACAGTGTCCAGCTGATTATTCTTAAATTACGCTATTTCTCATTCTGCTAAACCAAGTGTTTTATTGCTCTCATGGAGCTGTCAGCTTTTCATTACTTACTTAAAATAAAAATATATCATGTGCATAAGGAGAACTTTAAGGTAGAAATGATTCACATTTTGACTGCAAATAAAGTCACACAATGTAGAGAGTTCTGTATCTCTGCTTTTATGCCCTGCCCCTTTAACTATAAAAACATAACAGCCTATGCCATGGTGCACACAAAGTTATTCATGATTCTCAGTGTGACACTCCTGCTTCAAGAGCACAACACTGTATGTGAATAGTGGACCCATATAGTCTCACTGTGCCTCTCGCAGGAAGCTCCCCTGAAGCTCTGCCATAGGAGTGAGCAGGGTGGAGAATCAATGGGGTCCCTGTGTTTTTGGCCTATAATGCATGTCATGGAAACTCTATTTTTTAAGTGAAGCTGGGAGGAGATAAACATCCATCACATCACAGATTGTAAGTTATTCTCCACCGTAGAGATCTGACACCATGGCCTCAACTGAGATATGGGGGAGAGGAAGCACCATGTTCTTGTCAGATCAGCTCAAGGGCAAGACTCTGTCATCCTGAGCTGAAAATGAGAGAGTAATGCTCATCTCTTAAGTATAGTCCTCATGAATGTTTTAGTCTGTTTCAGCTGCTATAAGAGAACTCAACAAATGGGCAGCTCAGAAATAACATCAACATGTATTTCTGAATTCCCAAGGCTAGGAAGTTACAGATCAAGATGGTTTTGATATTGGTATCTGGTGAAGACCCAATTAATGATTCATAGAGGATCATCATCCTACTGTGTCCTCACATGGTGGAAGGGGAGCCGGAAAACTCTGGATTTGCACATGGGGGCACTAATCTTACTTATAAAGATGGCACCTCAACACCTCCCAAAAACACCTATTCACTTACCAAAAGCCCCACCTCCTAACACCCTCATGTTGGGTTTATTCCAACATCGATACTGTGGGGTTAATAAACATTCAATCTATAGCAGCATGTTTTATCGATCAATAACTTTCATTTACTGTGTTTTCTTAGAATAATTTGCATTGATGTTTAATGGCTGAAATTTCCATTTATTTTTACCAGGGGGCTTCCTACACCATCACTCCTGTAATTAGATAACTCTATTCATCCTGTCTTTAAAGTTTCTTTAGTAGGTCCATAAGTATTTTAAATATTTTTCTGCTAAGCCGACTGCCAAGATGGAGTTGATTTGTTCACCCTCTTTGATGGTATCACTGTTTGGAAATACACATTTCTAGCGATTAATGCAGTGAATTCACCTGCTTTTTATTTGGCTTCATCCAGATATATTTCTGTACATGTTAAACTAGGCAATTATTTCATATATTTTTCCATAGTCTTACACATTGAGAAAAGCCCCTCTAATGAAGTGTGTTCTCATGTACAACTTGCCCTGGTTCCCACACACAAGTCTACACTCTACAAAGCCGGGGTCACCCTCCTGCCATCTGTGGGGCTCACTCTCTGAACAGTGTTCTGCAATCCTCTGTGTATTCTGGGTCTCCTACACATCCTGGCCTGAGATCTCAGCTCCTTTATACCTGTTCCTACCTGAGCACTGTGCCTGGAAACTCTCTCAAGAAGGTGACCATGCATTCATCAGCGGGCTCCGTTTTATGCTTTCTCTCTTTCAACAATCACTGTCCTTATTACTTGATGTCAAACATTTTAAAATCATCTTTAAGAAATGTCACTGTTTTACATCCAGTGGAAAGATATATCTTGTTTCTGTTGTACAGTTTGTTTGAAAGTGATCATTTTGCAAATACATATTAGAATCAATTTTATAATGTTTGCCAATATTTATGTATATGTGTGTGTATAATACCCACGAAAATTGCAACTCTGTTCCAGGGTGTCCTGCACAATGATGAAATAATCCTGCAGAACTACCTGGAACAGACGAAAGTGAAAATCACAATTCTTTGCAGTCTGCACACATTTTCATAGGCCGTCCAATAAATTAAGAAAAACGTGCGTCCTGTATAAAAATCCGCAGCGTGTTAGCTCTGACAATGCACCCTACAGGCAGAGCTATGTACCTGGATCATGCATCTGGCTGCTGCTCTCCGATGTGCATTACATGGCTCATGCCGAAGCCCATGTCCTGTGCTCCATTCTCAGGAACAGAGTGAGCTCTGCACTCTTCTGAGCCAGAACCCCTGCTGGGGGTCTTGGGGGTTTCCTGAGGGGCAGCTTTGACTTTCAGAAGACTCAGTGATATTCTGGACTTTCTTAGCACAGTACAGAAATATAGGAAATTTCCACCCAATCCTCCCTCCATCTCTCCTTCACTCAGGTACAGGCTTCCATCTTATGCCATCAGCTTTCCCAGCCTCATTTGCCCTCCACATATTTTCCCTCAAAAGAATTGATGCCCTTCTTCCACAAACGCATGCAAACTTAAACAACTCCTGGAGATTTCTGCTCTAAAGAACAATAATGCCACATATAGTTCAGCAAAATTATTATAACATGAGTCTGATCCTATTATCAAATTTAAAACATTATTAATATTAATATTGCATTGATTAATGTTAGTATTAAAATATTAATCAGTGTAAAATATAAAATATTAATCATGGTAATAATCGGTTTTGAGTGTCACCTGGACTGGAACATAATGTCAGTCATTCAATCAAACACGAATTCAGGTGTTGCTCTAACGGGACACTACAGGCGTTATTAAAGCCTGTCATCACTTTTCTGCAGGTCAGGAAGATTGTCCTGGATGAGTTTGGTTGGTCTGATTTAATCCCAGCAGAAGGGACGATAATGGAACCCTATGACTTGGCTGTGGAACTTCTCAGGAATTCCAGCCTGTCTTTTCTGATGGTCGGCTCCATTGTCTTTGGCTGTGCCTAGCCAGACCTCACAACTGCTGTCACACAGACCCCACCGCACAACAAAGTGTCTATCCTCAGCTCTCTCTTGAGTCACAGGTGAGGGGGGCTCTGCGACAGGGTGAGAAGCGCAGGATCAGCTCTTCATCAATATCCCATTTGTCAGTGTCCACTTGCATTTCCTAAATGCGTCCATGCATAGAAGACAGCAGGGGCTTCAAGGCAATGGGGTATACGAAAGACCTCTCAGCCTTCCAGGTTCTGCAGGAGCCACAGCCTGAGCCACCCCGATTTCCAGGTAATGTGTCTGAGACCTGCGGTTTAGACCACAGGAAGCACACACTCCATTTTCAGAAAAAAGAAGGAGAAAAGGGAAGTGTAAGAATGAAGCCTGGAAAAAAGGAAAGGGGAGCAGCAGAGAAAGGGACAGATGGACTAGTCCTGAGGCAGACGTTCAGCTTTAAAGGACAGTGAGGTTCCTCTGAAAAATGTCAGGGTTGTAAGGACCCTGGGCCTGGATGAGCCTCCCTCTTGGTCCCAATCTGAA